GCGTGCCGCTCTCGCCACGGCAGAAAGGGCCGAGGGAGGGGAGAGCCCAGACCTCTTTGAGGTCCTCGCGTCATGAGCAGAAGCACGACGAGCTTGTCTTCCTGCCTCACTCATCGCTCTGGTCCTGCCCCTTCCCCCCTTGCTGGTCCCTCCTCCCTCCCGCCCTGTCCTGCCTCCTGAGGCCCAGATCTTTGTTCCGGTGTTTTTCCACAGCCTGCGCCACCGGAGGCTCAGACCACCTCCCCTGGCGCTCGGTGAGGGCCCCCGGAGGCGGGAAGTGGCGGAGGAGGCCAGGGACAGGATGCACGAGATGCGCAAGGCGCGTCCGGGGAAGGAGAAATGGAGGAGGGGCAGGAGAAGGAGAAAGACGGAGGAGCAAACGCAACCGAACTGGAGGAAGAAGAGGACGAGGCGGAAGCACAGAAGGGCAGGAGAGCATGGGTGAGCAATGCCAGCTGAAATAGAGCAGGCGATGATAGAGAAAAAGCTGCCACGACAACCGCGACACCGCCAAACCATGGCACCGCTACACTGCGGCAACCCACGGCGAAAGGCACTCGCCGCACGGCGGACAGTGCGCAACTTTGCGCAGACGCCACGCGCGTCACCAGCACGAGCTGCAAGTTCCCGGTGGCAGGCGGCCGCGCAAACACTTCGGCGCCCCCAGCCTCCAGTAGCTGCAGAGACCTGATGCTGGCATCCTGACGAAGCACAACCAGACAGATCACTCTCGAATGATGGTGCCCCGGACAGGCAGGAAACCACACTGCGGCACTGAGACTACAGCGCGCTTCCCCGCGCGTCGGGTGGAAGGGCAGAGGGAACGGCACCCACTACGAATCTGGCTCGAAGCAGGACCCTGGGTGATCCGGAGACCCGGAATCCAAAAGTGATAACGTCTCGCTTTTACTTTCGCAGCCTTCCTTCCGCGGATGGACCCGTCGCCGCTGTGCTTCCGCGGGCTGCCGCCGGCTTGCACCGAAGGCGGGGCGCGCCGACGGCGAGGCCTGATCTGGAACGCTACACGCATCCCTCCTGCGCCACCAATGCTCAGGGTCACAAGCAAGTGTGGCGTGTCGGTCGCTGTGCTCCTCCTGCCAGCACGCTTGGCGGCACACGCCGCCGAGCGGAGCATCGGGCGCGGCCCCGATCTGACAGCGCCCCACGCCACCGAAGGTCGCGAGACGCACGGCGCCGCCGTCGACGGATGCCAGGCAGAACGCCGACAACAAAGGCGACACGTACGTCAGACCTCCGCCCGCTAGAGGTAGGTCACACTCGCCGCTATCATTAATTACCAGGCGACGGGAAACACATACACACAATCACATGGTTGTGTTCAAACGTGGAACAACCAAGAGGCCGCGGGTTGGATGCACACGCGCAAGCCTGGCCTACTACAACAATGAAAGGGACGAGCGCTGAAGATACATGTGGCCACATGTGTATCCATCTTTCGTGATCATCGGACCATCTCGGTTCGCCCGTTGCTCATAGTTTGCCCCATCCAGGGCGTCCTGACGCCATCTTGAAGCCATGCCGGGATCACGCAGCGATTCGGGTCTCCTTGAGGTCATCGTCGGATCGTCACGATGCCATCCTGGAGCAATTTTGGGGTCATGGAGCCACCTTGGCATCGTCTCGGGGTCGTCTGGAGGTCTCACGCGCTTCTTCGGGAGGATCCTGGCGAACCCCCGAAGCATCTCGACGGGTCGCCGCTGCTGGATAGCATCCCAGGCACCCACCCTCTCTCATTAGGACCTACGGGAAACATCTGAGACCTGCGAGGTGAGGCCTGCGTCCGAGGATATGGGGGCCCTCCTCCTACTCTTCGCCCTCGTCCCCCTCCTCGTCTCCTCCTCGTCTCCTCCTCCTCCTCCTCCTCCTCCTCCTCCTCCTCCTCCTCCTCCTCCTCCTCCTCCTCCTCCTCCTCCTCCTCCCGCCCTCCCTCCTCCTCCTCCTCCTCCTCCTCCTTCCTCCCCCTCCTCCTCCTCCTCCTCCCCCTCCTCCTCTTCTTCCTCCTCCTTCTCCTCCTCCCCTTTTCCTCCTCCCCTCCTCCCCCTCCTCCTCCTCCTCCTCCTCCTCCTCCTCCTCCTGCTGCTCCTCCTTGTTGGCCTACGAAGGACGATCATGACTCATACCCGTGTCCATGCCCTCGCTGTCTGGATGCCCGGGCGCGATGCCATGGGTATGCGCGATTCCCTGGCTCCCACCCGCACGGAACATCCGCGAAATGCCGCCGAGTATCTTTGGGATCGCGGCCACAGAGTCCGGACCGCGAGGCCGCAGATGTGGATACGTTTCCCTGAGATCCGATGTCGCGCAAATATTCTGCACCGTGAAACCCAGTCCCCTCGAATAATGAAAAAGCACAACGGGAAGTTTTGCAATTTTCGGCCTCTGGGGGCCCTCACCAGGCCTCAGGACCGTCAGAAAATGACTTAGGATGAAAAACCGGTCCCAGGAAATAGGTCGAAACCTCTAGGGGTCGACGTCACAGAAAAAATCATGACGTCGGGGGTCTGGGTACGTAGACCCCACTTTCCTGCGGCGCGTTCCAGTTGGACCCATCTGCGAGGGCCCCGAATATCGAACACGCCCGGCGCGAAGAAAACACAAATGCGACTCCAGGATCTCCGCGCATGTAAGACGAAGCCAGGGCGAGGCTGAAATCGGGAGAGGATATGGCGAGAATCTCTGAGATCCGGCGGCTCTGAAGGATGTCTCGGGCGCCGCGGCCTTCTCAGAGCGTTCAGGAACGATCTGAGAGCGTTCCGGAACCCTCTTAGTCCTTAGCGCCGTCCAGCCATCGAGGGAAGGAGGAGCGACACCACCATCACCAGGGGGGTCTCCTCCCGCGAGGAGGTCCACGATTCCTCCTCGAGCTGGGGGGAAGGGATGTCTCGAGCGAGAGGGGGGCCCCACACCACCAGGGGGACCCCCCCCAGGCTCCTCCCGCTGGTGGTTCCTGGTGGTGCTGGTCCTTCGTCCTAGCCCCGTCCGAGCTTCCCAGACCCCCGACGTCATGATTTTGTTCCAGAGGTTTCGACCTATTCCCCGGGACCGGTTTTAAATGTTGAATTGTTTTTTGACGGTTCCGAAACCAAGAAGGGCCCCCAGAGGCCGAACATGGCGAACAACCTCCCGTCGTCACTTTTTCATTGCTCGAGGGGGTCTGGGTTGGCTGCGAGTCCCCGCCCATCGATGGCCTCAGGGGGCAGGTGTGCTCCCCGCAGCCCAGCGGGCGGCCGCAGGTGTCCCCGCATGACCACCGCGCGGGGTCGCCGCACCGCATCCTGGGGGGAGGTAGGAGGAGGAGGAGCAGGAGAAGGAGAAGGAGGAGGAGGAGGAGGAGGAAGAGGGGCAGGAGGAGAAGGAGGAGGAGGAGGAGGATGAAGAAGAGGGGGAGGAGGAAGGAGGAAGGAGGAAGGAGGAGGAGGAGGAGGAGGAGGAGGAGGAGGGGCCGGAGAAGAACGAGGAGAAGGATGATGATGATGGTGACGAGGAGGAGGAGAAGGAAAAGGAGAAGGAGGAGGAGACGGAGGAGGAGGAGGAGGAGGAGGAGGAGGAGGAGGAGGAGGGGAGGAGGAGGAGGAGGAGGAGGAGGAGGAGGAGGGGGCAGCAGGAGGAGCATACGGAGGAGGAGGAAGGAATGAGGAGGAGGGGAGGGAAGTAGGAGGAGGAGGAGGAGGGGGAGGAAAGTAGGAGGAGGAGAAGGAGGGCAGGAAAGGACGAATAACATAATAATGATGATGATGATGCTGCTGATGATGATGATGATGATGAGGAGGAGGAGGAGGAGGATGGTGATGGTGATGATGAGGAGGAAGAGGAGGAGGAAGAGAATGAGGAGCAAGAGGAAGAGGAGGAGAAGGAGAAGGAAAAGGGGAAGGAGGAGGAGGAGGAGGAGGGGGAGGGGGAGGGAGGAGGAGGAGGAGGAGGAGGAGAGACGAGGAGGAGGAGGAGGATGAGGAGAAGGAGGAGGAGGAGGAGGAGTAGGAGGAGGAGGAGGAGGAGGAGGAGGAGGAGGAGAAGGAGGAGGACAAGGAGGAGGAGGAGGACGAGGAGGAGGAGGAGGAGGAGGAGGAGGAACAGTACGAGAAGGAGGAGAAGGAGGAGCAGGGGAGGAGAAGAAGGAGGATGATGATGAGGAGGAGGAGGAGGAAGAGGAGGAGGAGGACGAGGAGGAGGAGGAGGAGGAGGAGGAGGAGGAGGAGGAGGGGCGAGTTTGTTCCCCGCCGAGAGAAACTTTTTTCGTCGGCGGCTAGGCAGGGGTCGTCTGGGCTGGCGGATGAGCTAACTAAGCGGGACCACCGTTATCGCCACCATTCAAGAGGAAGGGAGGAAGGAAGAGCGGGCGGCCGCGGGGAGGGTAAAAAAGGGCGGGCGGGGCCGCTCAGGGGGACGGGTCACGCCCAGAGCGGCGGCGGCGGGCGTGACCGGCCCAGCCAGCGGGGTCCGAGGCGGCTGCTGCGCCGGGGCCCCAGCGGCGGCGGGGCCCAGTGCGGGTATTATAACGAGTACAACAAGTCGCTAGTCAGGAAACGGCCGAGGGGCACGAAATGCCAGGCGGCGCGCCTCGCGTCGCCCAGGGGGGTGCGCTGAACTTGCGGCAAAGAGTTCGTCCGCCAAAATGCTGGGCCAGCGGGGGTGGCTGGCAGCAAGACCAGGCCTGGGTCCCTGCCGTGGCGGCTGCAGCCGAGAGACACAGGGGAGGGGGGGAAAACTAGAGACATCCTGGGGTTAAGTCGGATCGGCGATCGAAACGGATTGGATCGGCGGAAATCAACAACCCAGTCGGGAGAAGTCGAACCAGCGGAATTCGGCACGCTGGCACGGCCTCCACCGAAAAACCTGGATTAGAGGAAGAGGCAATGGCATAAACATGAACTTTTCGAGGTCCGCGCGGATTTCTTGGATCTGCGCTGTACCCCCCTCCCTCGCGCGAGGAGCGCGCCAGGGGGGCCCCAGCGCCGATCCAAGAAATCCGCGCGGAGCGCCGAGCATTTCTGTTTATGATGTTTTTATTCTTCGATGGATCCACGTCGGAATCCGAAATCGAATCGAATCGGAAGCGGAATCGATCGAAATCGGACCTATTCAAATCGTAAGAGCCAAAACCAGCCCTGGGAGGCGCCACAAGCTCGTCTGCTCCGAACAATGCTCGGCGGCGGCCGCTACAGGCCAGGCTCTCCCCGCGAGGGCGACCCGCCTTCCTACGGCATGCGGGAAGCCCAGACCTCGCCGCGTTGTGACAAGGATTGCGACGGGCAGTGCTTGGCAGCCTTCGGCCTCTGCGGGCTCTTGCCAGGCCCCGGGGCCATCAAAAAACTAGTCAGGATGCAAAGCCGGTCCAGGGGGAAGGGTCGAGACCTCGATGTGCCCACGCCGTGGAAAAGTTACGAACTCGGAGGTCTGGGGCCGTGTCCTGGTGGACACACATTGGACCTGGCCCTTTGCACCACCGGGGCCTCTCCCCATAACAAACTCTCCAGCCTGAACTGTTGTGAAGCTGTGGGCCAGAGGAGGGCCCCGGGAGGCGGAAAACAGCGAACATTCAGTGTCTCGAGCCACAATACCAGCACTGCGAATATACGCGTGCTTGCAGGTAAGAGCGTAAGAGCGCCGACAGTCGTGCCACCTACGCGCAGGAGGAAGACAGCATTAACAGTGCCTGCCGCATGCATTACTCACCTGCGAAAGAAAATGGCGCAGCACCATTGTTATGTTATCTTTCAAGAAATCTAGAACAGCACATTCGTGGCGAACTGGCACTCGTCTGGAAGAATACTGAAAGGGCCAGGGAGAGGGCGTGGCGAGGGCTGGGATGGGGGAGGCATGGGAGCCAGTGGAGGAGGATATGACGAATACTCGGAGGAGACAGGAAAGGCAGGCAAGGACGAGGAATGAGCATGAGGAGGACGAGGAAGCGGAGAACAACGAGGATTTGTTTTGCCAGCTGGGGCAATTCACCTCTGAGTGCACAGTGGCGGATGCGAGGGAAAAAAGCCACTGCCCCGAAAAGGGAAGGCTTTTGCAGGCAGAAGTGCGTGAAGATGCACGGCGGCCTGCAGCTCACCGCTGCGGCGCGGAAGAGAGAGGGACGTTTCTCGAAAGGGGTCGAGGCGGATTCCTGCTCCATGAGACGCAGTGTTTGGCATTGAGGGGCTTCAGTCGCACTGCAAGCGGAATGTAGAAGTAGGTACGCTCCAGGCTGAACCAGTGTTACAGATCCAACGGGCGCTCTTGATGACATGTACACTTCTCACATGCGTCCCCGTGCTCAAACACATCCAACAGGGAGGTGTAAGCAAAAGTGCTGGGAACGTGTTCGGTATGTGCTGCAATCGGTATGGGGCGCGCAAAGAAACATGAACTTATAGTCGCTGGTACGTTCGACAATGTGTTCAGGATCTGTGTGTTGACTCAACCTGCACACACCTGTGTGCCAGCGAATGCGTTTAGCAGCTGCGTTGAACAAACATGTCCAGAGAGATCGGGGATACACAATGGCTTGAAAACACGTGTCATTGCACCGGGCAGTAGTGTGAAGCACACGGTTGAAACCAGCTGACCCCTTGAGGTATCTGGGCGTGTGAGATTCTTCCCTCCGTCATCCCCTCCACCGGGACAACACTTGCGACATTCAGGGGGGCGCTGTGCCACGCGAGACGTCTGGGAAGCCTAGGAAGCTGGCGACAGTTCCAGAGGGCCCCCAATTAGGTATAAGGACAATTTTATGACGGCATTTGAAGGTTTAAAAATGCTCGAACTGAAATTTCGAAACGCCCGCCCCCAAAAAACCCTCCCAGACCACCAGCAAATCCGCAAGAGTCGGCCAGGAGGCCTGCAAGAGGCCCCAAAAAGAACCCGAAACGCCCCCAACTGGCCCGTCAATCTGTGCGACCTCGGACCCCCATTTGTCTGTGGTGATAAGAAGCCAACTGTTCATAGATGTCCGCAAGGAGACTGGTAGACTCTGCCTCGTTTCGGCAACGCTCCATCCCGCCGACTGGTAGGAAACGCATTGAATAGCCGTCCAGCGCCGGGTGCAGCAGCAGCGTTCGAAGAAGGTGAGATTTGTAGCGCAAGCCCGACTTAAGCGCCAGGAGGTCGCACAGGCCGTACCGGTCGTCACCACAGGACACGGCTGTGCCATCGCTCTTGAACAGAACTGTGCGGACCCTTCCAGCAACTCGCGTGTACTCCAGATCGCCGTGAAATATCGAAAAGCCGCCTTCTCCGTAGTGGTTCTGGCCGCAGGGAAGGGAACGGCCGTGCAATTGCTTCTCAGCAGAACTATGTGATGCACTCTGGCGGCGGCTTGCGTATTACCCTTCAGGTTTCCGCCCAACGCCGGGAGTTCGCACTTGCCGTCGTGATTCTGGCCGCAGGCCACAACAGTGCCATCGCTCCTGAGCAAGACCGTGCGGCGCAATCCAGCAACAACTTGTGTGCATGTCAGGTCGCCGCCGAGCGCTGGGAGGTTATATTGGCTATAGCGATCCGACCGCAAGCGACGGCAGTGCAATCGCTCCTGAGCAGAACTGTGTGAAGCAATCTAACAGCAACTTGTGCGTACTTCATGCCGCAGTCGAGCGCTGGGAGGTCGCACTGACCGAACCGATTCTGGCCGAAGGCCACGGCAATGCCATCGCTCCTGAGCAGGGCTGTGTGCTGCCCTCAACGGCGGTTTGCGTATACTTCGGGTCGCCGCCCAAAGCTGGAAGGTCGCACTGGCCGTCTTGAATCTTGCCTGAGGCCACGGCAGTGCGATACACAGAAGACACAGCTGCTGGCATCGACGGCGGCGGCAAGTGCGACTGGCACACCGACGACGTCGACGACGACGACGCCGACGACAACGAATGCCGGCGATCCTCTCGCGATGCTCACGCCCGCAGTGGCACTGCCCCGCGGACCCCACGGCGGTGCACGGCGGACACCTCAGGTGGCGGCGCGGTGAAGCATGACGGGAGACAATGCGACAGGATGGTATCGGCTACACTAGAGTGACCCTGGGTAAGAGTGACCTTTGGTGCGCGGCGTTTTGGGGGCCGCGGGGGGACTTAACCTGGGCGCGCAAGCCGCTGCTAATTACCGCTTCGCAGTCAACCATCTGGGGACCCATCTGTGCCCGCACTCAAGGTCACTCCGGCAAAGGGTTACTCTTACATGTAGTCGATGGTAGGGATGCGCGGTGCTGTATCGGGGACGCATTGACCTGGGCCAATCCAAACCCAGGTCAGTCAGGCTTTGCAGGATCCTGCAAGAACCTGCACGCACGCCAGGGTCAATGCACCCCTGGCCCTGCAAGATCCTGCAAACTCTGGCGCTCTGGCTGACCCCCGTCTGCACTGATCCCCGTTTCAAGGCTCCAGAGGAATGCCGATCGGATGCGGCCGGGGGGCCTGAACCAGTTCGGGACCCCAGAAGATCGGTCAGGAGGGGGATGAAGCCAAATTCGGAAAAAATCGGTCCCTGGGCCCCTCCCAAGGGGGTCCATCTGGTGCAATTGTCCACCCCGGGTCCTTTTCCACGGTCCCGAACCTGCCCGCCCTTGCTGCTGGCCGGGCCCAGTGCTGGGCCACCTCAGACCCCCAGAGGGCTCCAAGATGTAGGGACCTTGGACGCCCAAGGTGATGAAGCCCTTTGCGCAACGTGGCCAGGGGCAGTGGAGGAGGATAGGGCGAGGGCGCCAAGATGAGCAGGGTGCCCTGGGAAAGCTACTCACCCTTGTGGTCCTGGTTGGCTGTTAAGTTGAGGCCTGCCAGACGGGGTCGGAGCATATGGAGTCTCGGAGGATCGCGCCGCATGGCCGATGCATCACCGATGCGTCAGCGCTGTCGGCGACGTGGGCGATGCGTGGGCGAAGCTGGCGTGGAGAAACTCGGGCTCCACATCGAGCCGCGCCGCCGATGCATCGACGGTGAAGGCGCGACCCTCCGACCCCACTCGCTCTGGCCCCCTTCCGGGAGGCCTCGAGCTGTGCTGCTGGCCTTATGTCGGGCGTGTCCCCCTACAGGCGAATTCTGGACGACAAATAAAAAAGAGCACCAAAATATTCAAACATGAGTTCAAACATATATAGAATCATCGTCCCGATACTACTTCTGTTATTTCTCAATATTCCTCCTGCAGAAGGACGTGCCCGACTTACGGTTGGCCCAACGGCTTGGCGTCGGCCCGCGGCGCGGACCCGGGCCGACGAGAACGGCGGTGCACGGCCGAGAAGTCGGGAGCGGCCAAGTGGGGGGCGTCCAAGAGGGGGGGGGTGCAAATCAAGGCCGGCGGCATGTGCGCGGCCCAGGGGGGGGGGGGGGGGCAGGGCAGGGACGTGATGAAAGAAGGAGAGGCGCCATGAAATCTGGGGAAGTATCATGGCCCACGCCATGATATCCACGCCCCCCCTGGTCATCACCCCCCTCTTGGCCCACGCCACGATATCCCCCCCCCTGGTCATCACCCCCCTCTTGGCCGCCCCCGAGAGAAGAGGCGCCCCTCCGGAGGACCCCGCCGGGGGCCCGGCGTCGGCCATTTGCGTACGCGTGCGGACGCCCGGCGGCGGCAGCCCCCCGCTCCTCCGACGCCCTCGAGGGAGGGCCCGCACATCGGGCAGGGCTGCGACGCTGGGGGGAGGGGCTGGCTTCGGGTCGGGCATGTCCTCCCATACAAGAGGATTTCTTGGACGACGAATCAAACACACTCCAGAAATATGCAGAACTAGTCCGAAAATCATCCCTGACGACTTTTGGATCTTTGACATACTTTAAACAATGTTTGCATACTTGTGGATTAGTTCTGGATGTTTTTCTCCTGTAGAGGGGCACGCCCGACGCGTAAGGCTGGCTGCCTCTCCTGGAACGGGCCCCTCCCCAGACCCCCGAGACGTCACGATTTCTTCACGACCCCCAAAGGTTGCGACCCCTTCCCCGGGACCATGCAGTCGTCCCGAGCCCGGCAAGGGGCCCCCGGAGGCCGAAAATTGTGAAAGACCTCCCGCGTCATGATTTTTTCATTGCTCGAGGGGGTCTGGGCTGCGGGGAGGAGGAGGAGGAGGAGGAGGAGGAGGAGGAGGAGGAGGAGGAGGAGGAGGAGGAGGAGGAGGAGGAGGAGGAGGAGGAGGAGGAGGAGGAGGAGGAGGAGGAGGAGTGCTTTCCCAGGGCCGCCTCGGGACCACCCGACCAAGTCCCGTGGCGCCGGCCAGGGCCTGCCGCGTTCCTGGCAAGAGGTGTCGGGGCTAGGTCGGGCAGGGGTCCTCCTACAGGCGGATTGTGGGCGACAAACTGGAAATTCCTTTATAAATGTGCAACATGATTCAAACAGATTGGAAACATATAGTCCCCGTGCGGTTAGTTTGGACTATTTTTGAACATTCCTCCTGAAGAGGGACATGCCCGACTCGAGGTTGGGGTGCTGGGTGCTGGGACCTCACCGGGCCGCCCTCGACCATCGGTCGCACGTAAGGAATGGCCCCATGCTGGAGTGACCCTCGGGGGACCTGGCGCAACCGCGCAAGCCGCTGTATGTCGCACCGCATCAACGATCGGCGAGACGCGTCTCGAAAGAGCCTCAGCGCCAGCGGGTATCCACGGAATCCCGCAAATTCGATCCAAATTCTCCAGATGGTACCCCGAAGGCGCTGCGCAAGCAGACGCTGCCAAGGGCCACCACAATGAGGTCTGGCACTGCCGGGTCGCGTCGCGATGACGTCTGACCAGGCACGTCGTGGTCCCCCCCCCCCCCCAGGCCAGGAATCTGCTTGAATATCTTTGATTCGCTGTTACTCTTTAAATATAAAAAACCATGGTTCGGAAATGTATTCAAACATGTTCAGAACTATTCCAGGATGTTCAACTTTTGTCAATTCTAACCGGACGATTCGGGATCTGGGCTGGGTTGCGCGACTGATCCTTGGGCGGACAACGCGCCACCCGGTCGACCGGCCCCGCCCCCTCGGGAAGCCGACGCGCTCCAGGCTGCGCCGCGTACGCGTGTGCGCCGCGGTCGATCGGGTGCTGGGGGGGGCCATCCCCGGCGCGCTCCGACGCGAGCGCAGTCCCACGCTGCGCGGGCCGACGCGTGGCAGAAGAGTGGCGTGACCCCCTTCGGGCCAGCACCGAAGGCCAGCCCGGCGAAGGGTCACTCCGCCTGGCCTTCGGTCGGGCATGTCCTCCTACAGGCGGATTTTCCAGGAACGTCAAAACACAGTTATAGCACATCTCCCCGTACTATCTTGGGACTATTTGGGGCTACTCCTCATGAAGAGGGGCATGCCCGACTTAAGCCTGGTGGGCCCAGCCCTGTCTGGCATGTGCACTGACGAGCATGCCTGCGAGACACGCAGGGCTGGGCCCACCAGGCGCCCCCGTGCACTGGGTCCTGCTCCGGATTTGTAAGTCCGCGGGCGCCAGGGTATGCGAGGATGGTCAGGCGCCGGTCAAGGCGAGCGGTGGGCTGCTCCGGAAGCTCATACAGGCACAAGGCGGAAGAGGAAGAGACAAGAGAAAAGGGCACATGGACAAAGCCCGATCATGCAAGGTACGGTACGTCGGCGCGGGAATACCAGAGGGGAACATGCAGCTGCCTGCGAGCAGCGAGACGCCAGCGCGAGGCGGAAGGCCTTGAAGAAGCCGAATAACACCAGGGCCCGAGGAGGCGGGTCTCGGGTCCAGTCCGTCGGCTGACCATGGAAAGTTGCGGGGCCTGGAGGGCAACACAGGGCTGCTGCCTGCCTGTGCACACCTCCAGGCCTTGCCGAAGTCAGCCGCTCTGCACGTCGAGCCCACATCTCCGACGCCGTGACTGTCTCACCACAAAAAGAAACCCTGGAGGTTGCGACCCCTTCCCGTGTACTGGCTTCTTATACCGAGTCGCTCTTTGAAAGCCCCGGGGCCCAGACAGAAGCCACCACTTGCGAAACACGTCCGCCTTGATTTTATTCACGGCGCGATGAGGTCAAGCTTTTGTGCATTCAATAGCTCGGGTCTGCAGCGGCAGTTCGGGAAGATTCGGACACCCCCAAAGCGGCGCAGCTGCTGCAGAGCGGCCTGGGCTGGAAAACCTGCGGGAATCTACGCGAGCAACTTGAAGCCTCAAACCTGGACCCTATGAGCGGCCGAACACCTCCTCGAGCTGGCCGTGCAGTGCTAGCAGTATCGGTGCCCGAGCGAGCGGGCCCAGGGCGGGCTCGGGCGCGCCACTCTCTGCCCCGGCCGTCTGCGATCGCGGCGCGTCTGCTGGGCTGGGCACGGGCCCGGGTGGCACAGCTCGGGGCACGGGTGGGGGCAGCCGCGGTCGCGGCCGCAGACCTGGCCGCGGGGGAGGTCATCTACAGCGTCGTCGTCGTCCTCCTCCTCCTCCTCCTCCTCCTCGCCGTCGTCATCGTCGTCATCAAAACCGCCGCCGTCGCCGTCCCTGCCGTGGTCGCCGGCGGGCAGGGAGGAGGAGGCGGAGGAGAAAAAGGAGGAGGCGGAGGAGAAAAAGGAGGAGGCGGAGGAGAAGGAGGAGGAGGATTAAGGAGCCAGGAAGAGGAGGAGCGCGGAGGAAGGGATGATTTCTTGGGAAGAAGATGATGGGGTCTTGGAAGGGGCTCTTGGAGCTGTTAGAGGGGTCTGGGGGTGTCCTGGGGGTGGATCGAGCATTGACAACTACACCGACGGGACAATGGTTTGACCCACTTCTGCTGGCGTCGAAGAAGGCGATTCGGTGAAGGGCGTTCCGAGTCTGGAGAGGTATACCCCCTTCCGCGGCCGTAGGTTCCGACACGCGAGCGGCATGTCTTGTTGGAGCGTCTCGCGGACGGAAGGTTGTTTTCCACAGTGGCTCACTAGTAGCAAGCTGCTGAAGTGGTGGCATCCATGATTGTGACTGCGCGATGTGGGCGTGCTAGAATGCCAGGTAACTACTGCTCTGGTAGGGTTCATCGTACTCAAGTAGTAAAGGACCCCCCTTACTCGCAGAGTGGGGCGTGCATCTCCCCCCCCCGAGGCCACGACCCGTAGTAACAAATAAAACAATGGACGCACGCTCCCGACGCCACGATCCCATGTGAGACAAGGGTGTGTCCGCGTCTGGAGCTTCCGAGGAAGCCCAGGCAGGCAACCACGGCACTGAGGATGGCCCGAGGGTGCACCGACGACGGCTCAAGGTGGCCCCAAGGCGGAGCAGAACGGCCCCAAGGCAGCCCAGCATGCCTTCAAGAAAGCCTGAAAGGACCGCAAGCGGACCCCAACAGGGTCCGATTTGCGGCCAACATGATTGATGTCCCTTGTCTCACCTTTTCGGGCTTCCGTGGGAGTCTCCAAGCTGGCCCCAAGACGACCCAAGAGGCATCCAAGACGGCCTCCGGAGGGACCCAGGACGGCCTTAATTAGAGAAGGCCTTCGACGGCCCCACGAACGGCCCCACGCCAGCCCCCAGACTTTCCCCCCGTACGGCCACAAGGCCCCCACGACGGCTCAAGAGAGCCCCGATGCTGCCTAACTGGGCCCCACGACGGCCCCACGAGGGCCGCAAGCTGGGCTTAAAAGGGACCCCCAAGACTGCCCCACAGGAGGCCAAGACAGCCTCAAGACGGCCCACATGAGTTCCATAAGAGCTTCACAGGCAGTGAAAACGAAAGGTGTCACATGTGACTACCTTCCTCTTCCACCTCCTCCTCCTCCTCTTCCTCCTCCTCCTCCTCCTCCTGCTACTGCTCCGCCTCCTCCTCCTCTTGCTGCTCCTCCTCCTCCTCCTGCTCCTCCTCCCCCTCCTCCTCCCCCTCCTCCCCCTCCTCCTCCTCCTCCTCCTCCTCATCCTCCTCCTCCTTCTCCTCCTCCTCCTCCTCCTCGCTCCCTCCCCTTTCCTCCCTCAGCGCCCCCCGCGCGAACGATCACGGAAACAACGCTCTCGACGTGGCCGCGGACCACACACCGGCAGATGCAAAACAAAACGCTGCGGGTTCATCTCGCTGCTTTGGCCCACCCAGGAGGCCGCTCCGAGTCGGGTTGGTGCTCTCGGATTCGTACCCTTCCGCCCCTCCCTCGGCGGCGAGCGAGACGGGGGAAGTGAGAAGGCGAAGGCCTTCTCAGAAGGCGGCTGGACTTCTCAGAAGGCCTCGCGCCTTCTGACAGGCTTTTTTCCTGCCTTCGGGAAGGCTCGGAACACTTCTCAGAAGGCCGGGGGACTTCCGGGCCTTCTGCCTTCTGAGAAGGCCCTGTCCTCCTCGCTTCCCCCCGGGCACGCCGCCGCCTGCCAGGTGTCGCACCTGCTGCATCCCTGCGGGCAGCCCCACCACTCCCGCGAGCCCCTGCTGCCATGAGGAAAGGAGCACCCGCGCATTTCCTGCCGTCGTGCCGCCGCAAGGGGGCGCCCCACGAGGCACGCAGCGGGGCTGTGCTGGCCGCCGCGAGCCTCGGCCACGGACGGGCTCCCCGACCTGGAGCTATAGACGCGGCCTGGAGAAACCCGGGCATCCAACGACTCCAGAGTGGCCCCTCTTTGACACGTAATTGCTGCTGGTGAGGAGCCTGAGGACGAGAGGGAGTGCAGCAACATCAGCGATGTGATCTGGGTCAGCTGTGGTCCTGCTCTGCCTCCACTCGCCCGCCCCCGCTCATCCTCCACCCACTTACTTATCAAATCCCTCGGGCGAGATGGACTTGCTGAACTCACTCGGGTAATGAGCTCCACACGGGGGTGAGGAGAGACCGCAGGATTGGCGCGTAGAGCGCCGACTGAATACAAGATCAACAGGGGTGATTTGGGAGCAAGAGTGGTGAGGACGCCTTTTGCAGGTCAGAGGAAAGAGGGAAAACACGAGGAGGGAAGGAAGGAGTGAGGAGCAGAAGGACCACGGAGCAGGACGCAGGAGGACAGGGAGAAGGACACACATGAAGCGGAGTGGGCGAGGCCGAGCGAGGATACGTGGCCGACTGCTGCGGAAACCCTCGACCCACAAATGCTTACGCCTCGCGTTTGCTCCTGCCGCCTCCCGCCGACCCGACCTCCCGCCAGCCCTCGCCGGCGGCCCCACCGCCGGTGCACTCCCGCCGTCGCCCGCCGAAGGCGAGACGCGCCGAAGGCCTGCGCCGACGAGTACGAAGAGACGGCGCGGGCAGCAACGGCAGTGGAGCGCGGGAGTAGAGTGACGAACCAACAACACACACACCCATACCCATAGAGGGGTCGGAGAGGGCTATGGGTGCGTGTTGTCGGATGGGGGTCCCCGCTCGAACGGGAGCGCTCCCCAGGGTCCGACAACCCGCACCCATACCCACAGCCAGTCCTCCTCCCAACGACCCCCCTATGGGTATGGGTGTGTGTGGCTCGTTCGTCACAGAGGGCGCGAGCGACCTCGCCGCAGCTGTGCGCCAGCCAGTGGGGGCTCGCCTCGGGCTCCAGGACCTTCCGGGCGGGAGGGCGGGGATCCGGGGCCGATCGGGGGACACCCCAGTGGAGAGAGAGCGGGAGAGAGAGATGCTGCAGAGAACGCGCAAGGGGGTGGGAACTTCCTCTCGACATCGGCGGCGACGGCACAGGCGAGAGCGGGAACACAAAGGCTTCCGGCCCAGCCGGCCGCATACCGGCTACTGGCTCCCAAGCCCGGGTCGGCGGACGGAGGGGAGGGTGGGTCAGCTCCACGTGGCTCCCAAACCCGGGTCAGCCAGAGGATTGGCTACCCCCGTAAGCGCTGATCCTCGTTGCGTGCGCCCCGACAGGTAATTTGGCTGGCAGTTCTGGGCTTTTGCCCAATGGCCGCCTGTGGCTGTCTCGTGGCCGCCCTGTGCTGGCTGGCACTTCCGGTTCGCCAGGTGTCCGCCCATGGCCGCCACGAGGCCGCCCCGCGTCCTGGCCGGCGTTTCTGGGTTTTTTAGCCTGGTGGCCGCCCAGCGGCCGCATCGTAGCTCGCACACGAAGTAACTGCAAGACATACACTATACTGAATGAATACCTATGCGACCACCCTTCGGTTCATAGGGAGGTTGTCGGGGAGGGGGTGGAAACCACCCGAAGACAACTGCGATGGTTAGGATGGTGTCCATGCTGGCGATGCGTTCGCGAGCTGGTGACAGCCTCAGGACCATTAAGGGAGAGAGAGAGAGAGAGACAATTCGGACATCTGCGCGACAACTGCGGGGCAACCACAAGACCACTCAGAGACCGTTTGGGGCACCATCGGGAGACCATCGGGAGCACCTGAAGACACTGCGGGGGCAAATACATGACACCATCGGGGCACGATCGGGGCACCATCGGGACACAATATGGACACCATGTGAACACCATGTGGACACCATCTGGACAAAACCATGAACATCTGTTTTCCGATCTCACCATAGATCTCACCATATGTCAGTCTACCAGTCGGAAGTAGGGGGTGAGATCGAATTGAATCGGAGACCCCCCACGGAAAATCGGGTTCGATCTCCTGCCGTGCGTCTGGGCGAGGCGACGCTGCGTGAGCGGGCGAGCGGAATGAACTCGCCGCTCCTATGGTGAACTGGGCCGAACGTGGCACCCCCACCCCGCTGGCTGGCGGTGGCCAAGGGGGGTCCTGCCGGATGGCTGGCGGTGACATGGGGGTGTTCCGATGGTGTCCACATGGTGTCCACATGGTGTCCACATGGTGCCCCGATGGTGTCCAAATAGTGTCCCGATGGTGTCCCAATGATGTTCGGATGGTGTCCCGATGGTGTCCCGATGGTGTCCCAATGATACCCCGATGGTGTCCCGATGGTATTCCGATGGTGTCGCGATGGTTTTCGGATAATGTCACCCCGATGGTGTCCACATGGTGTCCCGGTGGTGTTCACATGGTGTCCACATGGTGTCCTGCTGGTGTCATGCTGGTGTTCCGATGGCGCCATGTATTTACCCCCGCAATGTCTTCAGGTGATCATCCCGATAGTGTTTCGCCGGTGCCCCGATGTTTGACCCGCAGATGATGTCCTAATGGTGTCCACTCGGTGTCCCGATGGTGTCCACATGGAGTACTCATGGTGTACTCATGGTGTCCACATGGTGTCCCGCTGGTGTCCCGACGGTGTCCCGATGGGTGTCCCGATGGTGTCCCGATGGTGTCCCGATGGTGTCCCGATGGTGTCCCGCCGATTGGCCAGGCTGTGCCAAATCAATCGGTCCCACTATCCATCTCACAATCGATCCCACTATCTATCTATCGATCTCAATATCGATCGGTCTCACTATCCATGGATCTCACTACCAATGATCGATCGATCTCGCGGGACAAACATCATGGCAACCATCGGGACACCTTCGGGGCACCATCGGGACACCAGCTGGACTCCATCGGGACACCAGCGGGACACCATTGGGACACCATGTGGACACCATCGGGAAATTCGGACACCATCGGGACACCATCGGGACACCATCGAGACACCATCGAGACACCATCTGGACACCGTCGAGACACCATCGGGACACCACCGAAACACCGTCGGGACACCCCCCGGGCCACCGCGGGCCATCCAGGGGGGCAATGCATTATGTGGGCAAATTTCGCCCTAGACATGGCAGGTTCGTTCCGCTCGCCCGACCACGCAGCTTCGCTTGGCCCGCACGCACGACACGAGCACGAAACCGAAACCGACTTCCCGATGGGGGGGGTCTCCGTTTCACTTCGATCTCGCCTCCCAACACCGCAGAACACAATTGATTGACCATGCCAATTCCACAACCGAGCTTGCACCGCATGTGTTGCACCTCATGCGCTGCAACACATAGATTGTACGCGCTAGCTTCCGCCGATTAGCTTGGGGTACCTTGCACCATGTACATATATAATATCCTTTTGAAGATTCAGATTGGGAAAATGTACCCTCTAGAAGCACACTCTAGTGTCTCGCCTCTAGAGGAGCACACTCTCAATCTCTAGAGTCGCGACCGCCTCCCTCTAATGCCCCTTCGAGAAGCCCCTCGAGAGGCCCTTCTAGAGGCCCCATCTAGAGGCCCTCCTAGAGGCACCTCTAGACACGCCTCTAGCAGCATTTAGAGATTCTACACGTATGCTCTACTTCATCGGGCCCTCTACAGCTTCCCGCACACCTCTCTACTCTTTACACGCTTCTAGAGCCCGCAAAATTGTCCTCAATCCAGTTGCGCCCCCTAAAGAACACACGATCGCCGCTCGCCATCCCGATTTCGAAGACACAGAAACGAAGGAGCAGGAGGAGGAAGACACGAGAAAGGGACAGAGAAGACGCAGACAGATGTTTCTCACCATTCGCCGCACCCCTAGACAATCCCCAGTTCCACGTTTCACCCTGGACCCTGCGTTCGAGGATCGTGGTTCGAGACGGTGCTGTGAATTTCTGGAATTTCCCTCCGTGTAGGTGGCCTGGAACATCTGAGCAGGGTCCGCCCTGAAGTTCTGATCCCGACGCACCTTCCAGGCTCGTGGTCTGGACGCATCTGTGAATGAGCCCTCTTCCCGATGTTTCCACCCAGCGCCCACTTCTCTTCCCCGCGGCACCCCTTCCAGCAGCTGCGCCACGCCGACGCCGCTCCTGCGGTGCCCGCCTCGCCCCGAACCGCCGCCCGAGGCCCGAGCTGCCGCCTCGAAATGCCGGCCCCGACGCACCCCTGGAAAACCCCTATGGGGGCCCCCTCCTTCCACCTCCTCCTCCTCCTCCTCCTCCTCCTCCTCCTCCCTCCTCCTCCTCCACGTTTCATCCCGAACCCTGCGTTCGAGTACCGTGGGCGAGGGGTCCGCGCATTCACTCTGCCACTGCCGCCGCCGCCATGGCGGATATGTTCTCTCTTGAGGAACAACAGGCGGCAAAGAAGGATGAAGAAGAGCGACGTTGGAGGAGGAGGCGACGGGGGCGAGGCGAGGAGAAAAGAGGCAGTAGGAAGGAACGGGAGGGAATGTGGGAAGCGAAATGGGAGCGACGGAAGCGCCACAGGCAAGCTGCGAGATCGTCCAGCCGGCTTCGCCCCCGCCACCGCCGCCGCCGCCGCCGTCGTCGTCGTCGTCCTCGTCGTTCTCGTCCTCGTCGTCGTCGTCGTCCTCGTCATCGTCGCCGTCGTCGTTGCTTTGTCGTCGTCGATTCGTCGTCGTCACCGTCGGCTCTCTCTCCTTCTCGTTCCCCCCTGTAGCCGCGCAGTGCATACCTATGCTCACGCAAGCGTGCTCTGGCCAAATTTCCGACGCGTAGTCCAGGTGTGCGTCAGGAGGACCCCCGGAAGGCCGAGAGCGGCCCCAGAGCTCTCCAAGACAGGCCCCCCAAGATCCTCGGGAGCCCTCGGGAGGCCTTGACGAGGCTCCACCGTGTGAAATGACCCCAGCATGGCTCCATACGTGCCCCCCATGCCCGACAGACGAGGTCAACGGGCCCCCAGGCGGCCCAGGAGCGATCCGAGACGCGTCCCACTATAACCCGAAACGCTATGATCATACATCCCCTTTCTGTTTTTGAAGGACTTTGACGTTTTCGCTTTTTCGGCTTGCGGACGCTCCGCGTCCCATCATAACCCGAAGCGCTAAGATCACACATCCCTCTTCCGGTTTTTGACGGACTTTGGCGTTTTCGTTATTCCGGCTTGCGGACGCTCCACGACGCCCCCGCGCGCCCCCGACACCTTCCCAAAGAGACACGGGGGGCGCCCAACACGACCCCGAGGCGGCTCAACGGAGCGCCCTAGACAACCCAACAGATCCCACAGATGGCTTCTGACGGCCCATCGTCAGAGCAATTTCAGCGCGCTTCCTCGCCGATCGCCACTCTTTGCCCCCGCGCCAGAGCCGCCTAATGAAGTAAGGGTTCGACGGCGCAGCGTAGCAAGCCGTAGAAAACTTGTATACATACATACATATATATGTGTATATATATGCACAGATATATAAGATCCCGTTGGTTGGACCACATAGATTGCGCCACGTATATCTCGTGTTGTAGCTTGGTTGCGCCACGCAGATTGCAATCCATGCGTTGCGCCACATTTATTGCACCACACACGCACCACGTAGGCTGCATCCCAGACTATACCTATGCGACCACCTTTCGGGTAATAAGGGGGTTGTGGAGGGGGCGCGGAACCAACTGATGACAACTGCGGTGGGACACCATCGGGACACCCTGGGGACAAATTCGCCGGCCCAACGGGCCAGGGCGTGCTAAGATCTCCGGTAACTGGTTAACAGTATTAACAGTATTTCTAGTTCGCGCGCGCGGGGCGGCCCCTGGGGGTCCCCCGGCGAAAAGTACCCCGACCAACGCCCGGTCGCCGCCCGACCGCCGCCCGACCGCCGCCCGACCAAAGTCTACTCAGAGATGGTTTTCCTTCTGGGTGCGGCCTCTCAGGCTCCCCAGAGCGCGCTCAGAGTGCCCCAAGAGGCCCCCAAGACTGCCCAAGAGGCCCCCGAGACGCCCAAAGAGCGCTCGAAGACGCCGAAGATGACCCCAAGACGGCCCAAAAGGCCCCCAAGACAGCCCAAGAGGCCTCCAAGACGCCCCAAGAGCCTTCCAAGAGGCCTCCGAAGAGAGCCCCAAGAGGCCAAAATCGTTGATTTCATTGTTTTTTTTCGATGTTTTTTGTGTTCTGGCTTTTTCGGCTTCCGGACGCTCCAAGACGGCCCAAGAGGCCCCCAAGACCGCTCCAAGACGGCCCACGAAGCTCCCAAGACGGCGCCGAAACGACCCAAGAGAGCCCTCAAGACGGCCCAAGTGCCGCCCAAGACGGACCAAGAGGCCCCAAGACGGGCCCAAGAGGGACTCAGGAGGGATACCGAGAACTCAAAAATGGAGCCCTCCGTCCCAGAAGGCGCCCAGGAGGTCCCAAAGAGGCCCCAAGAGGCCTCCAAGAGGCCCCAAGATGTCGCCAAGAGGCCCCAGGAGACTCCCAGGAGGCCCAAAAGAAGCCCCAGAAGGCTTCAAACATGTCTCCCAGGCGCCCCCGAACGGCCTCTCAACAGACCCCAAGAGGCCCCCCAAAGAAGCATCTTGACGACGACTCTATTTCGCCCCATCGAGAGACGACCCCCAGGGAACTGCTTCACCATCAAAACTCCCCACGCAACGCGTCCGAACGACACCCGCCCCCAAGAGCGCAACATGGGCAACGAACACACAGACAAAAACCAGCGATGCCATATCACGGGCCGGCGGAATGAACGAAGCGATTCAATAAATGTCATCATCGGGTCACCGTCGGGACACCACTGTGGTCCATCCGTCGACTATTTGTTTATCGATCTCACTTTCGGCCTGATTATATGTCTCGCTATCGATCTGACTACCGATCTAACCATCTGTTTACCGATCTCACTATCGTCAGGGAGACGTAAGACTCGGGTTCGGGGGAACTCGGGTTGGCCTGACGGGGTCGTCTTAAAAATGACGAGACCCAGTCTGAAATTTGACACGAACTCTCGCTGCAAGCATCCCACGAAAACTGGACCTGGACCGTCAAAATCCAGGACGCGCTCGTCAACAAGCGTTGGCAAACCCGAATTCTGGCATACTCGAATCTTACGTTTCCCCGACATCGGTCTCACTATCGATCTCACTATCGGCCTCCAAAGGCCACAACGGAGCACCGCGGGACACTGGCCACCCGACACCACGGGACATCGCATCGATCTCACGATATATCGACCTCACCTTCGATCTCATGTTCGACCTCACTTTCATCTCACTACCGATCCCACTACCAATCTCAGGATCGAGCTCACCCAATCGATCTCACAATTCGATTTCACTATCGATTTAAGTGCCACCACGGGACGCCCGCGGGACACCCCCGGGCCACCGCCGGTCAGCCCAGGGGAGGAGAGACATTGAGCCCGGATCAGGGCGGGATCACTCCCTCTCGCCCGCAAATGCCTCGCCCGCACGCGTGACTCAAAACCAGCCCCAATTTCCTGGCGGGGGGCTCTCCGTTGCACTGCGATCTCACCAGCCACCGATATATCTCGCTCCACATGGAGCGCACCTCTAGGTCAATACGGTACATCGACAAAATGTTGCACCACCTGGTGTTGTCAAGAAAGCAAGCCGATTTTGCAATGGATGTTCGCTTCCACCCCCCCCTCCCCCCAATCTTAACATTGGCTGCGGTCCCGGGTTCATCGAAACGGCTCGGTGGTGCAACATTCTGTCGTGAGCCCTGAGGGGGGCGCCAAGGGACCTTTGCCCTGTGCCCAATATTAAGATCCGGGGGAGGGGGGGGGAGGAGCAATGCAATACAGCTGACAATGCGCGGCAAAAGTGGTGCAACATTTCGTCGACGTACGGTAACCCACTGTTTTAGGGGTCCACGATGGCAAGCCAACGATCTGCCAGCTTATCATCGAAACGGTTGTACGCAGGTTGCGCAACTGCCGAGGCAAACATGCAAGCGCTGTGCAAGTGTTACTGCCAGCGAGCAGTCAAGCTGAGACTTCGTCTAACGCTTCTGACCTGACTCCCGGTTGCGGTACGACCCTCAGATTGGGCGCGGTCCGACGCACGAAATACTGCCGGGAGGCAAACGCATGCAACACCACCCCTCCTGGCCCGCAGATGTTCCCAGCCTCCCCGCGCAACCCCCGGGCGGATGTGGGCGGGGCGAAACGCGCCCTCGAAGAGGCAGCGCCCGCAGAAGCAGGCGTGCGCTCGCCTGCCGCCTCCAGGACGCGCAGACGCGGGGGGGAGGGGGGCTCGCGAGCAGCCCTGCCGGCGATGTTTGCTTCGGGGCGGTGCTGCTCTCGGTGGGGTGTGGGGGGGGCTCGCGAGCAGCCCTGGGAGCGATGTCTGCCTCGGGGCGGTGCTGCTATCGGTCAAACGCTGAGAGATGCAACAATGGTTAGGTCGGGCATGTCCTCCTGCAGGCGGATTCTGGAGAAAAAAAATCCGATTCGAAACATAACCAACAATAACCCAAGCACAGTCGAAAAATCTTCACTAGACCATGTTTTGACTATTCTTGAGTATTCCTCCTGTAGAAGGACATGCCCGACTTAAAACCATCGCGCTGCCACAGGGAGAGCAGAGGACGGAACGCATGGGGCTCGTTTTCGGCCCGGGCGAGTGTTGGCCACGAAGAGAGGCTCCCCAGCCTGGAATCACGGAGCGGCCTTGGAATCCAGAGCCTCTCCTGAGCGAGCGCAAGCTGGCCCTGACTTCGGCGTCTCGGCTCAGGGGAGGGACAGGGTACCCATACCTCTCCCCTTTGCCCAGTGTCCCCATTTTGGGCCTCCTCGGAGGCCCTCGTCGCCACCGCTGGATTCGCCTCGAAATTCTGGTCCGAACGCACCCCGGGAGACGTCCGGGGAGTAGCGGTATCGTTCCCCATCGACTATATCTGCACCCGCTTGGACAATTGATGAGCAATGCAACCGTATTTTTCACTGGTTTGGCCCCCCCCCCCCCCCCAGGCCCCTGATCTCAATGGTGCGTCGGCCGCGGCCGACGGCGGAAGAATCGAATCGCGCGGCGCTCCGCAGGAACACTGGAGTTTAAGGAGCGCGGAGGGACGGACCTCGCGCCTGGGTTGCATTATGGTCTCCAGGGCCTGGTGTAGGCAGGCAGTCGCCTGCTCATCGGCGCTGATCGACGCTAAATCGGCGTTATCTCATCGATTACCAAGCGCTGCTCGACGCTAGTGCAATCTAAAGACGGACTTGCGAAGGTATACAAGACTCCCATGACCTGCTACCGAACACCTCTCCTCCGCACCTGCGGCCCTACCTCCCCGCTGCGGGGGCACTGCAAGTGTGCGCGGCCGCAACGCGCGCGCGAAGTGTGCGGCAGCGAGGCGGGGCGTCCTTCTGGCAGAAGCACTTGTACCGCGGCAGCGGGCTCACCCTGTGGTAGCGGCAGTTGGGGCATGTCCACGCGCACTCCCCGCCTTGGCCCGCGGCTTCTCTTTCTCCGCGGTGCGGGGGAGTCGGCCACACGCAAAAGAGTGACCCCGGGCAAGAGGAGCCCTCTGGCGCATGGCCTGCTGGCCTGGTCGATCATTGCGGGCGGTACGGCAGCACGTGCCCACGCGCTTGGGCCTGCCAACCCCGCCGCTTTCCCCCCCCCTCCCCGCGCCCCCCGAAAGCCGCGCACCAGAGGTCACGAAGGCGAAGGGCCACTCTTACGTTTGGCTTTCGGGCCACAGCTCGGCTCGCCGGCGGCCGCTCGGGACAAGCTGGGCAGCCCTCGACCGCCCTCGGCGAAGCGCGGGCGCCGGAAAGCTCCCTGGGCGCAAGAAGCCCCAGGAGCCAACGAAAACTTCGGGTAAAAAGTGCCTAGGGACTCCCTTTCCCTAGAAGGTCACTCTTGCACTCTTGCGCGCGGCCGGCCCGATGCGGCTGCCGTGCCTGATCCAGGAAAGCGTCCCGAGGCAGGAACACCTCTGCGAACCGACGACAATGCCCAGATGCGTGCCGCCGTGGCTTTGACAGGCTCCCTGAATTTCCAGTGCCTGCAGCCGTACACATGTTCGCAAGATGCACCCTCTTTGTTACTGAGCTGGACTTTCTCAGATGAGCGACGAAAAGAAACTGGGCTTACTCGAGATGGCATAGCGACCTTACGCCGTGGCTGACGCGGGCCGACGGCGCCGAACGCCGCTCTTTAGACGAGGGCGCTTGCGCACGACTTTGCGCTGGCAACGTACGCGCGCATGTCCGCGCACTCGAACCCGTTTCTCTGCGTCGCTCCGATGACATTTGTTGCAACATCACGCTGTCATCATTCTGGGGAAACCAACAGGTACTGATACCGCTAATTACTCCCCAGACCTCTCCGGGGGTGCGCTCTGACCAGGATTTCGAGGCGAATCCAGCGGTAGCGACGAGGGCCTCCCAGGAGGCGGACGAAGGGGGCAAGTTGGCGAAGGGCAGCGGCATCGGTACCTTTCTCCTCCTCTGACGCTCGAGGAGAGCAAGCTACCTCGCGCGCAGCCCACTCGGTGCGCAGCGCGCCGTGGCCTGGAGACGGCTGGCCTGGCCGGAGCCCGCGGCGAGAGGCGGCAGGCGGGCCTCGGCTGGCCAGCCAGTCGGGCAGCGCCCCCCCCCCCCGGCGAGGCCTCGGCGGCGCGGGGCCAACCCTCGCACGAGCCCAGCTCCCGCTCGGGACAGACGGATGTCGTAATGCGCTTTGTTTTCTGCTTCACAGGCGAGATGCGCTCTGTTTTGCCGCGTCGCAGTCGTGAGGCCTTCCGCTTCTGCTTCGCAGTCGAGTCTCTGCGTGCACCCAGTCGCTCTGCAGTGCCTTTGTCTGTCATGTGTTCTCCTGAAGAATTGCCAATCGCGCAGTCTTCTTCCCACGCGTCCCTCTGGACGCTCTGAATAGTGGTGGTGGGGCGTTTAGCGTTCCGGCGAGTATTGTTTTCCTCTACGAAGCCGCTTGCGCACGCGTGTAGGTAGGGTCGTTGTCGGTGGGCAAGTATCCCAGCCGATCACCAGGCAGGACATGGCATACCAAGGCACCGTGTTTGGCCCGCCCATGTGGAATTGGTTTTGCGCAGACACATGCTTGGCCATTCGTTCTTGCGATTTCGACGAAGTCGTCTTTGCTTATGACCTCAGCGCCTGGACGGCGCTCCCAGGGTGTGTGTGTGTGTGTGTGCCTGACGCAGAAGCTTACTCGCAACTTAGCGCTTGCCAATCTTCTCTGCATGAATGGGGTCGCACCAGCCGGGGCGCGCTTCGATGCTGGCAAAGAACACGTTCATTTAATTTAATGACGACCAGCTGGAGATAGTTTAAACATTTGGTAGATTTTGACCCACAGCTGCTAACGACATGGACACACGCCGCCACCGAAAAATCGCATGTCTCAGGTGATCCGACCATGCGGCTGGCCGCAGCAGTAGCGCAACCCTGTGTACGATCGCGGAGCGCGAGCGGGAGGAGCTCGGGTCGGACGAACATTGGGGCTCTACATACGCAAGCGGGACCCTGGGCAACAGTGACCTTCGCTACCCGAGGTGGCCAGATCCAGGACGCAGGCCGCTGCTGCCGCATCGCATTCGATGTGGGGAAAAAAAACCTACCTCGCTTTTGACCACCCTCGCTTGCAAGAGATACCAAACGATGCCAAATTGCAGCCTGTACTGGTCAGGACGCTTGACGAGGAGGCGCGTGGTATGGCTTGGTTTTGCCTGGAAGCGAAAGCGGGGTAGGTAAATCACGCTCTGATTCGACGCTGAGGGGGCCCCAGCGGGCCCGCACCAGAGATCACTCGGGCGCAGGGTCGATCCCACGTGTCGCCCAGAAAAGAGGTGCCAGTAACCGGGGGGGGGGATAGATCGGCTCACGCAGCTGGTTTTCCTGGCGCCTCCTGGTGCCCACGTTTTCGGGAAACACTCGGCGGCGGGGCCGCATCCGGCTGCATGCAGCACATTTCTCAACCACTCCGTCCCGAATCCCCCCGTGGGGCGTGCTGGCGTCTGGTGACAGGCTCAGGGTGAAGGCGACAAAGCGAGTTCCACGACATGCAGGTGGGAAGTTGGAAGTGCATAGCATTCGGAAACCACGCGCTGGATAGTGACGTATGCAGAAGCCGGGCGTGCCCGGGCCATGGAAGGGCCGAACGCTGGAAAAGTCTGGCCACGTGTGAATCCAGCTCTCGCCCAGGCTTGCCACGTCATGTGCATCCAACTTCATGGAAGTCAGGCCAGGGATGACATCCCGAACCAGGTCAAACCTGATAAACGTGGAACAGGAGTTCGCCCCTCAGGCTTGGCATCCTCCCTCTCCTCAGCACCACACCGTCTGCGGGGGCTCAGAACATAACACAGCTCGTGCTTGTACTCGAGGAAAAAACACGACATCAGCGGACCAAAACACGGCTGGACCTCGGAACCCAATCTTCAAGTGGGCGATTTCCGAAACCCTGAATCCAAAAAACGTTTTCATCTCTTGGGGGCGCATCGTTTACTTCCGCCGCCTTCCGCCGAGCTTCCGCAAGCTTCCGCCGGCTTCCGCCGACCTTCCGCCGCCGAAGAGATCACACCTCCTGCTATCCTCGAAGGCAAGGCCCTTTTTGGAGCGCCCCATGTGGACTCTTCGAACTGGGACTGATCGGTCAGGGTCCATCGTGGACGTTTCGAATTGGGCCCGCCAAAATTGGGGACCGAATGTGGACTCTTCGAACTGGGACCGGATGTGGACTTTTCGAACTGGGACTTGGACTTCCCGAATCGGGACTGGTGGAATGTGGACTTCTCGACTTGGGCCCGCCAACAACAGGACGGCAGCGGCCGCCGTGCCTCTCTCGCGCTGCCCGGACGCCAAGGGTCCCCCTACACGCCGGCGCGTCCATGTGCTGTGCACGTGGGCCCTCGGAGGTCCCCGCCTCGTCCCCGCGCCCGGCTTCTCCTAGGGCTCCCAACTTCGCGCTTCGCGCTCCGCGAAGCGCGAAGCGCGAATAACTTCGCGCTCTCGCGCCGCCTTCCCAAAGGGAGAATAGGAGGACGAGGAGGAGGAGGAGAAGGAACGAGGACCGCGAAGCGCGAAGCGCGAATAACTTCGCGCCCTCGAGGGAGCCCGACGGCCCCCGGAGGCCGACAGTTGCAGAACATCTCCCGTCGCGAGCTCGGCTTCAGCGCGAAGAGGTCTGGAGGGGCAGAGGGGCGGCGGGTGGCCTCCCGACTCGCTCAGCTTCTTGATCCACTGGTGGATGCACTTGAGGTGGATGACGCACCAGCACTGGTCGCACTGGGGATCGGTCGCTCTTGCGCGCGGCACTCCCGGTGGCGGCTGCCAGGCCAGCATCGAGAGGGGAGGACGGTGAGCAAGCAAGGCAAGGGACGGTGCTGGGGCCCCCCCTCCCTCCCCTCCTCCCCGTCCCTCTCCTCCCTCCTCCGGCCCTCCCCTCTGCGCATTCTTAGCCCCGCTACCTTTTCTTGTGATTATGCTTCTTCACATTCTCCTCGTCTTACTCCTCCTCGCCATCTTCCTCTTTCTACTCCTCCTTGTCCCTTACCTCCCTCTCCTCCTTCCCTCTCCTCTCTCCTTCCCTCACTCGCTCCCCTCCCAACTCCCCTCTCCCTACCAACACCCGGCACCGCATGAACAACTTGAGCGATAAACGTACTGCAGAACCACACGTACAGGGCCTGCACAGCTCCTGCGTAGCCTTGCAAAACCATCGCGCGGCCCTCGTTATACAGTGTGCGCAAGCGTTACGAACCTGCGCGTAAGACATTCGACCCTCCCTCCCTCCCTCCCTCATTGTTTCTCCCTCGATCCGTCCCTTCTCCCCTCCCTCCTTCACCTCGTCCCCTCCTCCTCCGTTCTTCCTCCATCCTCCTTCCTCTTCTTCCTCTCCCCTCCCCTCTATCACTTCCTCTTTCTCTTCACCCCGCTCGCCTTACCAAGTCCCCTCCTCCTGCTTTCTCCTCCTTTCTCCTTTCTCGTTTCTCCCTCCTCAACCTCCTCCCCCTCCCTCCCCCATCCCGCTCTCTTTCTCCTCCTCCTCCTCCTCCTGCTCTTCTCGTTCCTCTCTCTTGTCTCCTGCTAGCGTCCTGCAAGCCTCAGAACGGGGGACGAGGGGTGGATGCGCGCTGATGGGAATGCTGCAAAACCACAGTCTGCCCGTCGACGCGAGTCCCCTCTTTCTCCTCTTTTGCCTCCTCCTCTCCTTATCCTCCTCCTTCTCCTCCTCCTCCTCATCCTCCTTCTCCTCCCTTCTCCTCCTCCTCCTCCTCCTCCCCCTCCTCCTCCTGCTCCTCCTCCTCCTCCTCCTCCTCCTCCTCTTCCTCCTCCTCCTCCTCCTCCTCCTCCCAGAACGCCGACACACTGACACCCAAGTCCGCAAACAAATAACACGCCAACCCTGCACGAGCCTCTGCGCTGACCTCGTGAGGGCCTTCGATCAGTGCCCCGCGGGGTGCTTCCGAGGATCACCGAAGGATTACACTTCCACTCCTCCTCCTCCTCCTCCTCCTCCTCCTGCTTCTCCTCCTCCTCCTCGCTCTCCTCCTCCTCCTCTCCTCCTCCTCTCCTCCTCCTCCCCTCCTCCTCCTCCGCCTCCGCCTCGGCCTTCCCTCTTCTTTCCTCCTCCTCCGCCTCTCCTCCTCCGCGCTACTGTGCTGCCACTGCTCCTCCCCCTCCGCAACATCTCACTGCTGATCCACCTGCTGCCCCATCTGCCCCCCCTCCTCCACCTTTCTCTCCTGCCGCTGCTGCTGCTCCTCTCAGCTTTCCCCCCCTCCCCCCCCTCCGAATCGTAAACTCTACCCTGCCGCTGCCGCCGATGCTCCTGCCGCACCCCCCACCGCTTCCCCACCGAATCCTCCTCGGGAGAGGGGCGACCTCCTCCTCCTCCTCCTCCTCCTCCTCCTCCTCCTCCTCCTCCTCCTCGCTGCTGCTCCCCGTCCTCTGACCTCCCTCCCCCCGTGAACTCCGCCCCCATCACCCTCCTCCTCCTCCTCCTCCTCCTCCTCCTCCTCCTCCTCCTCCTCCTCCTCCTCCTCCTCCTCCTCCTCATGCGTTCCCCGCTCCACCTCCTCACCTTCCGCCTCCTCCCCCTCCCGCCTCCACGGGAACGACTAGGACGACGACGGCGGCGACAATGAAAACGACGACGACGACGAGGACGACGACGAGACCGACGAGAACGACGACGACCGCAGCGGCGACGACCGCGGCGGCGGCGACGACGGTGGCGGCATCGGGGTGCGTGCCGAGGGCCTGCCAGATCGGCTGCTGCCTTGCCACGCCGCCTTGGCCCCGGGAGGGAGGCGGCGCGCCCCCCGGTCGCGCGCGGCTGACGGCCATGGGGGGCGACGCGTGTTACCCCACGGAAGGGGGGGACGCGGTCGGGGGGGGGGTAACGGTAACGGCAGCCGCGGCGTGCACCCGCCAGGGTGAGTCCGAGCCGCCAGCACATCAACCGCCGGTGTGCACCACAGCCTCTGTGTACACGACAATGCCCAATGCCTGCGTGCCAGCCCCTGTGTACTTGACACTGCCCAATGCCTGCTTGCAACACAGCGCCGCCTGCGTAAACCGCAGTGCCTCCGTACACCACAGCCGCCGCGCGCACCACAGCACCACGTCGCCTGTGTACAACACAGTGTCTGTATACATTGCAGCAGCCGCGTGCACCACAGCGCTTACGTGCACCAAAATGCCTGTGTACACCCCAGCGCCTGTGTACACCACAGCAACCATGTGTACAACAGCTCCTGTGCACACCACACAGCCCCTGTGCACCACAATGCCTGTGTGCACACCACAGCGCCAAACGTGCCAGTGGGCACATCATTAGCTTGCGAGCGCCACGTTGCGCTTGTGAGCACCACCGTGCGCCAGGAGCCTGCCATGAACCAAGGTCGCGACCAAGGGCCGCGAGGAACGCTTTAGCATGGAACGGTCGGGTCCCGAGGGAAACGGGCCCTCCAACCCAGGGGCGCAAGCAGGACGAATTCGCCAGCCAGAACTGTTTTCTGACGGCCCCAGGGCCCGCCGAGAAGCGCAGAGAGGGCAGAAAAACAACGAACCATACACAGCTCATTTCCCTTGGTGGGAGGAGGTGGAAGGAGATGGGGAGGAGGTGGGAGACATCGGGAGGACGTGAGAAGAGGTGGGGAGAGGCGGGGGGGAGTTGGGAGCAGGTGGGAAAGGGAAGTACATTGAGGTGGGAGGTGGGGGAAGGTAGGAGGACGTGAGGCGTCGGCTGTACGGTAGATCCGTGCCGTGACGCCTTGGAAGTTGGTTTCTCACACTGCGTGGGTCGCTTAATCTTGAACGATCTGTGCAACCGGAGCTGCTCAGGGCCTTCTGCCGCCAGGATGCCATGCTTGCACGCGTGTGTGCATTTGTTGCCCCTGGATGGGAGGCTGCGCTCATCGCCACGGCTGGAGCCGCCTCGGCATGCTGGCCAGAGCGCACCCCGAAGCAAGTCCGAGGGTTAATCTCGAGGCGGGGGACCTGGACCCCATGTCGTCACACAAAGCCCTGGAAGGTAATTCCGCCAGCCCCTTGGGCGCAGAGGGTTTCGCGAATTCGTTATTCCAGCCTTTCTGCCCCTATCCCTTCTCCCTGGGTCTGAACGGGCCTTGTGGAGGAGGAGGAGGAGGAGGAGGAGGAGGAGGAGGAGGAGGAGGAGGGAGAGGAGGGGGAGAAGGAGGAGGAGGAGGAGGAGGACGGGTGAGTGTCCATGGCCCCAGCTTCCCCAAGATGGCCTTTACGATTGTGCAGCGATAGCCCAATATCGTTTAAGATAGCCTACAGCATGCCTCCGAGAGGCCCCACGACCTCCCCACGACGGCTCCAAGTGGCCTCGAAGCCTCCGAAAGACCTTCCCGAGAGGCCGCCATGCTTCGAAAACCGACGGACACCAACAATATTTGTCCTCACTGGGGGAGTAACGGGTGTGTGCATTATCCCGCCGCGAAGGGTCCTACACGCCAGCCCATTTTACCCCGGCGAATGGCCGAATAATATACAACCCCGAAGCAACACAAGCCTTTGCTTTTTATAAAGATTTGCCACTTGGGCCACGAAACGTGTGGGGGTGTGCGAGAGAATGGGCGGAGGTGGAGCCTTCAGTTGGAGCCCCCTTTTATGAAGCTACGAAGCGTAGCAAGGCTGTGCCGAACTGGGCGGGGGAACGCCACGCGAGCATGCCCGCTGGCGCCTTCCGTGGAGATTCATGTCGGGCCACGAAGCGTTTTAGGGGGGGGTACCGAAACAGGTGAGGGGCCGCCATGCGAGCATTGTGTGAAGCTCCCTATGGGGTCAGGCAGCTTGTGAGGAGTGTGCCGGACTGGGCGGCGGGAACATTTGTGAGCTTGCAAACTGGAGCACTCGGAAGAGGTCCCGTATGGTGCCACGATGCGTGTGATGGGTGTACCGGAATTGACGGCGGGGACGGATGAGACCTTGTCCATTGGTCCTTCAGGCAGGCCCAAATGGGACCACGAAGCGTGTCAGGGGTGTGCTGGAAATGACGGCGGGGACGCATGTGATTTCTGGGCATTCGGTAGAGGTCCATATTGGGCCACGAATTATGTCAGGGTGTGCCGAAAATGAGGGCGGGGACGCATGTGACCTTGCCTACTGGGGCTTTCGGTGGAGCTCCCTATGAGGCCACGAAGCGTATGAGGACTGTGCCGACATAGGCGGCGGGACGCCATGCGAACACTCCCACCGGGGGCTTCGGTGGATCTCCCTATGTCCCCACTTCTCAAGCTTCGCATGGGGCCACGAGGTGTTTCAAAAGTGCGACAAAACGGGCGGCGGGAACGCGTGTGAACGCAGTCAACTACAGTCTTCGATAAAGATCCCTATGAAGCCATGGAGCGTGTGAGGAATGTGCCGATATGGGCGGCGGGGGCCATGTGCACTTGCCCAGTGGGGCCTTCGCCCCAGCCGAGCCAGATCCCTTGATTCTCGCCCCTCGATCCTCGGACCTCGATCCTCGACCGCGATACTGCTCCCAATCATCCTGCGGTGTTGGGTCATTGGTTTGTTGAAGAAACAACACCCCGCGTTCCCCCTCTTCTCATCCTCCCACTCCTCTCTCCTCCCATGCCTGCCCCTGTCCTCCGCATGTCAACCGTTTTCGGCAGACCTCCCACGCGCTTCCTGACCCCACAGGGAGCTCCACTGAAGGCCCCAGTGGCCGCTGCCGCATTCGTCCGCGCCACCCACCACAACGCTTCGTGGCCCGCCCCACTAGGGAGCTCCACCGAAGGCCCCAAACATAGCGTTCGCATGCGTCCGCGCCACCCGGTACAACGCTTCGTGGCGCCATGTTGGGGTTC